TTTTTTGGCGAAGATATCATTAATAAGGCTTAATTTCCTTCGTTGTTCAAAATACTTTTTAGATAAAATCAGTCGAATGTTTATAGAGGCTATATCTAATACAGTAAATTCTATTAAAAACTGGATATTGGGGTTCAACTTTTATGACAGCTACTCTCAGTCATGGACAATAATTGGTAGGGAGATTTTGTATTCAATGGTAATAGAAAATATTAAAGCCAATTTAGTTGAAAACCTTGCCTAAAGTCACTAAAATACGGAATTTGGGGACTACCCGAAACATTGGCCAATATTTATAATTTTTGGGAGGGTAAGGGTTACCCAAAAAAAGTGGACAAATATAACCCCATTTCAAACCAGTAAGGAAAGTAGTAAAGTCGGACTGGGCCGACTATATGATACCCTTCACCACATTGGGTATGTTCTACAAATGTATCCTAAAGGACGTCGCCTTTTCGAGGGAAAATTTACATAAAATTGAACAAACTTAAATATGTGATCTTTATCTATATCTAAACCGACTAACATCAACCCCTACACATGCCATTCTGCAACCTATGCACTGTTTAAAACTAAATCTCAATCAGACACCCATTGATTTTTTGGTGTACAATTACCATAAATAAGTCATAATTATATTTCAGCGATTAATTTATATTAACTTCAATACATTGCATCAATCGGCCTAGCTATGGATCTTTAGTGCACCATTTACTTAAAATCGGACGAAAATATATATAAGAGGTGTATATAAATCTGAACTTAATTTAGTACGTTATACCAAAATGCAAATCACCAAAGTCCCTGAAAATCATTCAATTTGCACGAATGTTGGCACAGTGTACTGAATTAACTCTAGAATGAAGTGTGCTAAGTTTCGAGAAAATCGGGTCAGATTTAGATATAGCTCCCATATATAGTTTCGCCCGATTTTAGGTAAATGGTACACCAAAGTACCTATATATTATTCGATTTCCACAAAATTTGTCATAGCGTACTGAATTAAGTCTAGAATGATTTGTGCTAAGTTTCTGTTCAGATTTAGACATAGCTCCTATATATATTTTCTTCCGATTTTATGTAAATTGTACACTAAAGACCCAAAGTTCATACGATTGCCAGGCAATTTTGTATAATGAACTGTAGTTAAGATAAATAATTTTCTGGCAAGTCTCGTTGAAATCGATTCAGATTTAGATATAGCTTCTACATATCGTCATCATAAATGCAAACGGACTTAACTACACTTTTACAAATTTTATAGGAGAAGCAAAAACGTTATAAAATCTATAAAAATGGAATATTTGCAAAGTTTAATCGCACTATAGAGCCGTATTTATTATTTGAAACAAATTAAACACAAAAACAACTGTGCATATAATGACACTTTTTTTTAAAAAATTTGGTGACTTTTTTATAGTAAACGTAATTCTACGAGGTACAAAAAGTCAACAAATTTAAAAAAAGTGTCATTATATGCAAAGTTGTTTTTGCACTCGAAATTGGAAAGCGTCAAAATGACCGCCTTCAGCTATCTAGTGTTAATTTTTTTGGTTTTTAAAGGTTTTATGTCAGTTACGTCCTTTTGACATGATTGTCCTTTTGACACAATTGTAGTACAACAAAGTGACTTGAGACTAAAATTTGTACAGCGTATCAAATTGAGTCCGGAGTGACGTGTGTTAAGTTTTGTTGAAATCGGTTCTGATTTAGACATAGCTCCTACACATATTTTTGTCCGATTTTGTGTAAATGGTACATTAAAGCCACTATATTTCTTTCGATTTGTATGACATTTCGCATAGCGCACTTAATTGAGTCTAGATTTCGATATAGCTCCCATATACAGTTTCCATCGATTTTATGTAAATGTTCACCTAAAGACATTAAATATTTCTCCGATAGCGATAGAACTTTGCACAGCGTAATTTTCCACCCAGTGGGAAACAAAAATACCTAATTATAGCTGATTAGTTCAAAAAATGAAGAAAAGCCTTAAAATACCGAATTTTGTTTTACCGCTATATGGGGGCTACAGTAACAAATTGACCGATATATCTCATTTGCAATACCCAGAAGTTTATATAAGTTCTGAATTTCTAGCTTCAATATTACGAGGATTACTTTTTTTACAGGAGTGTAGTTACTTCCGTTTGCATTAATAACCAGTAAGGAAAGTAGTAAAGTCGGGCGGGGCCGACTATATGATACCCTTCACCACTTTGGGTATATTCAACAGATGAATGCTAACAGACGTCGAATTCTGCAACCTATACTAAATTTTTCATTTGTTCAGATATAGGGTTGCTTCTTACAATGGGACAAAATGACCAAAACTCGGGAGAAAATATATATAGAAGCTCTATCCAAATCTGAGCCGATATCAAAACTTTCCACATTTCAAAACTTTAGTACGTTGTGCAAAGTTTGTGTCAATTTTGTGTAAAATCAGACGAAAAAATATATGTAGAAGCTACATCAAAATCTGAACCGATTTCAATGAGAATGGCAGAGATTAACTTATATTAACTACAGTATATTGTACAAAATTGTGTGGCAATCGGACAAACTTTGAGTCTTTAGTGCACAATTTACATAAAATCGGAAGAAAACATAAATAGGAGCTATATATAAATCTGAACCGAGTTTCAGGAAACTTTACACACATCACTCCAGATTCATTTCAGTACACTATGCCAAATTTTACCTTAAATTGGACGAAGATATATATGGGAGCTATATCTAAATCTGAACCGATTTTCAGGAAACTTAACACACATCATTCTAGACCTAATCCATTTCGCTATGCCAAATTTCGGGCAAATCAAAAGATATATAGGGACATTTCTACACCATTTACCTTAAATCGGACGAAGATATATATGGGAGCTATATCTAAATCTGAACCGATTTTCAGGAAACTTAAGACACATCATTCTAAACCTAATTCATTACGCTATGCCAAATTTCGTGCAAATCGAAAGATATATAGGGACTTTACCTTAAATCGGACGAAAATATATATGGGAGCTATACCTAAATCTGAACCGACTTTTCCCAATTTCAATAGGGTTCGTCCTTGGGCCAATTAAGTGACCTGCGCCAAATTTCATCTAAATCGGATCATAAATGCGACCTGTACTTTGTTAACAAAAATACATGGACGGACGGATGGACGAACACGCATAAATCGACTTAAAAAGTAATTCTTTGCATATTCTCAAAAAGAATCATGTGTCTATCTCGTTTCCTTTTGCCTGTTACAAACATATGCACAAAGACATAATACCCTGTACCACAGTGTGGTGAAGGGTATAAAAACATAATATTGTAGTTACGTCCGGTGGGTCCGATTGGCACAACATTTTGCACAACGTACAGAAGTTACTATAACATTACGTGTGGCAAGTTTTGTTGAAATCTGTTCAGATTTAGATATAGCTCCCAAATATAGTTTCGTCCGATTTTAAGTAAATGGTGCACCAAATTTTGTCCGATTGGACAAAATTTTTTAAATGTTTTTGAATACATTTAAAAAGTTTTATTGCTCCAATTTTGCCAAATAAATACTTATATAGGATGTACTACATACATTATTGTTAATCCTTATCTCTTCATATCGGCTATATATATTTTAAAAAAAGTTATGCCATCAATGTATGCCAATCAATGCCCCAAATTAAATTAGAGAGTTCTAGCTCTTCGTCTATTTAATAGTTTGGTGCACACTATTTCCTTTATCATACGCATAACCACATGCAAAGAATCTTGAGCTCTAGATGTTTTCGATATAAATAGATATTTTAGTGTATTTCAATACTACTTGTGTTTTTTTTTTTGTACAAATTACAAAAAACTTTGTTACAGTTATTTATTTCGATATCCGATACCCATGTATCAAATCTAGTGATTTACAATGAGAGCTTCGTATCGAAAACGACATTGCCGAATGTGCACCGATGCCGAAGGTGCCCCAGTCTCCCCTTCCTATTATTCGACATTTTAGGCTAATTTTTCAAAAAAATCTTTCTCTAAACATTACCAATAGCGGGCCATGAGCAGCCATATTCACCCTATTGAAAAGTCACGATTCATTTTCAGTATGTACAAGGTCCAAGCCCATTTTCCAATCTGAGTGTAAATAGATTGGTGTTTCGTTTTCCTCTGTTATCAATTTTCCACGACATAGGTATTTCGGAGGATATAAGATGTGTGGATCATCATTACGGCGTTTTACTTTTATTTGAATAGGGATTTAATACATTTTAAATTTGTTAGGCATCATTAACTTTGTTAGGCTTTTTTTCTTCCTCAGGGCCACTTACACTTTTTGTAAAATTCTAAACGAACGAATTCGAGTGACTTACGACCAAACTCCTTGGTTTTGAAAAATATGTCATTTATTTTTGTTTTGAATCAAAAAATATTTGTTTACATAAACAAAGGTTTGGTCGTAAGTCACTAGAAATCGTTCGTTTAGAATTTTACAAAAACAGGCTGTTACACATCTTAAAATAATTTAGAATTGAGGATATACTTACCATAATCGTACGTATAAAACGTATGAAAAATTTAACATCGATAAATTCAACCGTTTTCGATGTAAAACCATTTAAAAAAATTGAATTTGTGAAAGGTCTTATAATAGAAGATTTAAAGGGTTTCTTAAGAAGCTTTCGTATCTTCATTAAAAAGTCAAGTGAAGAAGTGTTTTGCAAGAATATGATCTTATGATCTACTATTATGAGTAACTTCTGATCTTCTATAAGATGCCTTTTATAAGACCTTCTGTTTCGCTTTATACCCAAGATGCTATTTAAAACTACATTGAAATTGAAAGATTTTTTTTTTAATATTCAAATACTTAATTTATTTTTCAAACAACAAAATATTTAACACATACATACAATTGTTAACTAAAATATAACACTTAAATATAAATAAATAAAAAACTTTGTACAAAAGAATTCCACAGATAGGCGGAAAATCTAAAAATATTGCTAATAATCTCGAGTTAGTAATTTAACCAAATCTCCAATATAGGCCTGGGCCATTTGTAGAGTTTCATATTTGGATAGGCGACGATCATGCCCAAGCGAGGGCACAACATCGCGTAGCTTTTCAAAGGCGTCATTGAGGCTGTTCATGCGACGACGTTCACGGGCATTTGCGGCAAGGCGCCGTTTGCGTAAAACTTCTTGAGAACACGCCACAGTTCCCGTCGGCGACGACGATGATGATGAGGACGACGATGAAGAACTGCGATTAAGTTTACCATATGATTTTGTTGAAGTTTTCATAATTTTATTTTCAATTTTTATGGGATTATATTTCAGCGATTTCAGGGGTGTGCTGCCAATTCCATTTGGTGTTTCTGTGGATGGTTGTGATGATGTGGAGAAATTATTATGCGCCATATTATTCCAATGTTGTTGATGATTTTGTTGTTGTTGCTGCTGCTGATGATAGTTGTTGTAGAAATTTTCCAATTCATATGTGGAGGTGGGTATTGGTGTTTCCAAGCCAAATTCATTGCTGGTATTTGAATCGGACATTGAATCTGTGTTATGTAGTTCCATTGAATCCATCACATGAGCGAAATTCATATCTAAAGGATTGTAGGGATGATGATGTCCAGCGGCGTTGTTCTGCTCATAGGCCATAAAATTGTTTCCCGTTGTGGAGCAGTGGGTATTTTCCGATGAGATTGTTGATGATGACAAGTATTGAGGGAAATAAAATTGTTCGGTAAAATCGTTGGATAACATTTTGGTTGATTTTTTTCTTTCTTTAAGTCGAGAGCGATAAAATGTTGTATTACTCCTTGAAAGGATCTTTAGAGACTGTTGCTATAACAGCATCCTGCCGTTACCTTTTATACTCTTAGTGCACATGCAAAGGTAATCTTGGCACTTGCTTCTGATTGGTCAGCGCCAGTGTGTTTACCTGTTCATCACATCTCTGATTCGTTGTTCTCCTTAGTTTTTATTTTTTTGTTGTTGTTGGCTGGACAGCCTTTTTTCTTAACTCTTAAACTAGCCATGATCGTGTTCCATGCAACCAATTTTTTTTTTTGTTTGCTTCAAAGGTAGCACAACCTTTTTGTTCTGTATTATGTACATTGAGTGTTGCATGTTTATTGTTGTTGTTGGAGTTGTAGATCATTCCTTTTTGGCCTATTGTTATCTAAAATTGACTTGTGGTCAAAACGTTTAAATGTTTCTCTTTTTAATTTTTTTAACTGAGGATTTCACTTGCTTTTAATATTCTTTTATTTAAAACATCGTTTTTGCAACAAAATATATTTTTGTAAACATTTACATACTCCTGCATTACATGCAATTATAATAATTATTGTGGTTTTTATTCAAGACTTATTCCACAGAAGAAATTATCACTTTCCGTTTCTTTTATAATCTGAAATTTTTGGCAGTAACTGAAGGGGGAATAAAAACCCCATTCAATTGTTATTATAAATGTTGGTATTGTAATTTTAAAATTTGTCCAACATTTGTGTGTCGGATACAATGATAGGTTATTGAATTTGGCAAGGTCAATATGAATGAATAATAAAAATGCAGATCAATCAAGGTGACGGAATGTTGAAAAAACTCTTAAAATTTAGGTTATGTTTGTACATGTTTAAAATCAACATACAATCAGTTTGTATAGGAATTTTCAAAGTGAATTTTCACACTTTGATGACATCATACTACTAATGATCCTAGGAACATTATATAGGATAGAAACGTCTTTCAAGGGAATTGTTCAATTTAGATCCATGTTTTGACTTAGCCCATGTGCATTTCAGATTGTTTATTCTGTTCTAAGCCCATTAGATACTTCACCACACTGTGATACAGGGTATTTTGTCTTTGTGGATATGGTTTTAACAAGCACAAGGATACTAGATAGACACATGGTGCCTTTTGAGAATATGAACAGAATCACTTTCAAATTCGTCCGTCCATGTTAAATTGTAAACAATGTACAGATCGCATTTATGATCCGAATTGGATGAAATTTGGCATAGATCACGTCCAAGGACGAAAAATTGGTTCAGAATCATATATAGTTCCCATATATATTTATAGCCTCAGCCTTGTGGCTAATGCGGGTTTGTACACTCAGGGTTTTTATACTCATCGAAATATTGGTTTTAGAACCCATGTTTCTTTGGATCAAATCCGTTTCAGAAAATTTGAAGTCGATTTACAAATGTTCTCGTTCGAACGAGGATTTAGAAAAGTTGACAGTTTGTCGTGTGACCTGTTCAACATCCTGGTGGAAAAGGTCATACGAGATGGAAATGTGAACAGAAATGGCACTCTGTACCCCAAACAGCATATGTTACTCGCCGACGACATCGACATAAAGGGTCGAACATTGCGAGCGGTAACAGCCACCTTTAATCGAATTAAGAAGGAGTCTGCCCCAGTGGGACTGGCAGAAAATGGCGAAAAGACCAAGCTGATGGTATCAACGCGCAAGACGTCCCGTAGATTCGGACCAACTGTGGAACTTGAAAACTACAGCTTCAAGGTAGTGAACGATTTTATATAAAAACCAGTATATAAAAACCAGTAAACAAAACTAAAACCAGTAAGGAAAGTAGTGAAGTCGGAATGGGCCGACTATATGATACCCTTCACCACTTTGTGTATATTCTACATATGTATCCGAAAAGACGTCGCCTTTTTGAAAGAATTTTGACATGAAATTGAACGAACTTAAATATGTGATTTTTATGTCTTTCTGGAACATATGCTAAATTGGCCCACCATTTACATAAAATCGGTCGAAACTATATATGGAAGCTATATCTAAATCTGAACCGATTTTCGCGAAATCGAATGATTTTCAAGGACTTTGGCCCACCATTTACATAAAATCGATCGAAACTATATATGGAAGCTATATCTAAATCTGAACCGATTTTCGCGAAACTTAGTACACATCACTCTAGACTTAATTCAGTAGGATATACCAAATTTCGTGCAAATCGAAAGATATATAGGTACTTTGGGGCACCATTTACCTAAAATCGTGCGAAACTAAATATGGGAGCTATATCTAAATCTGAAACGATTTTCACGAAACTTAGCACACGTCATTCTAGACTTAATTCAATACGCTATGCCAAAATTCGTGCAAATCAAATGATTTTCAGGGACTTTGGTGCACCATTTACCTAAACTCGGACGAAACTGTATATGGGAGCTATATCTAAATCTGAAACGATTTTCACGAAACTTAGTACACGTCATTCTAGACTAAATTCAATAGGCTATGCCAAAATTCGTGCAAATCAAATAATTTTCAGGGACTTTGGTGCACCATTATTATATTATTTAGTAACCCATTACCACACTAGAGAGCGGAAATATAGCGCTGATAGCTTTGTAATTTTCCATGAGATTCTCCTTATGGCCAACGACAACGCGGGTATTATGTCTTTGTGCATATGTTTGTAACAGGCAAAAATAATCGAGATAGACACATGGTTCCCTTTGAGAATATGCATGGAATCACTTTCTGAGTCGATTTATGCATGTCCGTCTGTCTGTCGATTTAAATTGTAAACACGGTACAGGTCGCATTTATAATTCGAATTGGATGAAATTTGGCATAGGTCACTTATTTGGCCCAAGGACGAAACCTATTGAAATTGGGAAAAATCGGTTCAGATTTAGATATAGCTCCATTATATATTTTCGTCCGATTTAATCTAAACGGTCCCTATATATCTTTCGATTTGCACGAAATTTGGTACAGCGTAATGAATTAGGTCTAGAATGATGTGTGTTAAGTTTCGTGAAAATCGGTTGAAATTTAGATCTAGCTCCCATATATATTTTCGTCCGATTTTAGGTAAATAGTGCACCAAAGTCCCTTTATATCCTTCGATTTGCACTAAATTTGGCATAGCGTACTGAATTGAGTCTAGAATGATGAGTTTCGGGAAAATCGGTTTAGATTTCGACATATCTCCCATATATATTTTCGTCCAATTTATGTAAATGATGCACCAACGTCCCTATATATAGACATGCTATTGTTAGGATACATATGCACAATATACTCAAAGTGGTGAAGGATATCATATAGTCGTTTAGTTTTTTTTTGTGTGTTTTTGCACCGTAATTCAAGAACTACTGCACCTATTTTGAACAAA